CTGTACATCCTACTAAATTAACTTTTCTAAGCTACTTTCATTTGGTATTTTGTTCATCGGAGACCTCTGCAGAAATAATTAGATTCTGCGCTCAAGGCCGGGTCTCTCAATCTCAACACTATTAACATTTTGGACCACAAGGTTTTTTCCCATGGGAGTTGTCCTATCAACTGCAGAATTTTAACAGCCTCCCAAGCTTTTCTCAGAAGATACCAGTAGCATCACTCCCTAGGCAAACCAAAACTGTCTCCAGAAATAGCTCAATGTCTGCTGCAAAGCAAAAACGTCTCTGGCTTCTTGGCCGCCTGACTAAGTGTTTTAAAAGGTGCTGTTCTACTGTGTAAATCTTGACAATGAAATCTCTCTTAAGAAAGTAAACTATTTTTAGGAACATATTTTGTTAAATAATTCATTCTCCATTTCCTGAGGCAGCATTTGGAAGACATAATGCATAAATTCCCAGGTGTAAATACATAGAGACACACATTTGGAATTACTTTATTTCTATTATTATGACTAAATATAAGGTGTATTTTCTCTTTCCTGTTTCCCAATAGCATGATGCCTCTACTTAAAGCATTTATTTAGACTTTACTGATTTCATTTTTTTTTTTGACGTGCTACCTCTATGAAAGTATTTTCAAACCATAGTATGGACACATGGCCAGACTGAATGACAGGTGGGAAATGCGTTCTGCAGTCTCCTTCCAGTTTCCATGTATTTTCTTGATATACAGTATTTTCTAAGCCTCAGGTACAGCACAACCTCTCCTATCATGACTTAAGTATGAGTTTTCTGTAAATTCATCTGGTTTATGTTTGGGCTTGCAAAGAGCTTATTTCAGGGTAGCTGAATTAGGTGATCAAAATGGTGTGCTCAGTTCATTCTTCCCAGGACATTTTCCATCCTAAATGATACGCTGACATGACTGGCAGTATTGGAACTTACTGGAAAGTATGAAATATCACTCTTGTTTGATGGATGAGATTAGAGCAGATAGAACAAAAATGCATTAAATTTCCCCCCAAGGGTTTCTTTTGTTAGTATCAGTTTACTTGGCTGGTTTCTTTATGTTTCTGCTCTGTTTTCCCCATAGAGTTTCCTGTAAACTCTGCCTGTCAATCCAATTTTTATTGCTTTCATTTTTAATACTCCAATTGGTACATTTTACAAAATAGACCAGCCATGCTAAAATTTGATGCATCAGTTTCTCCTTCAGGATAAGGAGCTGAGCCTGACTTTGCACCAGAAGTTAAGCCGCTGCATGGTGTATGAGAAGGACGGTGTGTCCAGTGGTCATGGTGCCTATAATGTCGTTATGAGCCCTGCACATGTCTTTCTGTTCACTGCCTCATAAATAAGATCTGTCAAAAATAAGACCTACAAGAGATTATTAATTTTAAACCGTATTTTTCATAGAAAGGGGTTGTTTTTTTCCATTTACTAATACCCTGGTGTGCATAGAAAGCAAGTATTTAATTTCCTTCAGCATTTAAAGCCCGCTAGATTCCCTTCTCTGAGATCTCAGCTCTCAGCTCCTTATATCTTGTGAGGAAGAATCTTCTCCACCGTTGTCAGCTTGTCGTTGGCCATTCTGCACTGTATCACTATCTAATTTCCTAAGCAATTCTGCATTCATTCATTCACTCACTCCATAGTCATTAAGTGTGCTGGATCCTAGCTTCTGTTCTAGGCTATTGTGACCTCATCCCAGTGTGAACTAATATTCCAACAGGAGAAATACTGGGTAAATACACTGACCTTCTTTGCTTGTGCTGCCATAAAAATTATACAGTGACTGGATGACCTAAAAATCAGAAATAGATCTTCTCACTAGTTTTGATGGTAGAAGTTTAAGATTGAAGTTCCTGTTGACTCAGTTTTGGTGAGAGCCTTTTTCCTGTTATACACTGTGTTACCCTCAAAATAAGCCCTCGATGAACAAAAATCAGCCTTGCAAGGTAGAGATAAAAATTGCCAGACCCAATTAGCCTACCTTTGCCTCATCTGCCTTACAGGATAGGCACCCAGCAAGAGGCTAGTGATGGCACCGTGGAATTTCTGTGGTATTTCTTTATACTAAGTATGCTAACACAGTCCAATCATGGTCACATCTTTACAATCTTCTTTACAATGCCTTTCCAGGTGGCCCCATCTCCAAATACAAACACACCCGCAGTTAGGACTTTAACAGATGAAACTGAGGGGCACACAAACATTCCATTCATCATATGTATAAGTAAGATTTCAGAAATTACTACTTCAGTTGAATAATACTCCATTGTGTAAAAATACCACATCTTTATCCGTTCTCCAGCTGAAGGGCATTTGGGTTGCTTCCAAGATTTAGCTATGACAAATTATGCTGCTATAAATATGGGTGCACATATATTGCTGTGGTATGTTGTTTTCAGTTCTTCTGGAAAAATACCCAGGAAGGGAATAGCTAGGTTGAATAAGACCTCAAATCCTAGCTTTCTGAGGAATCTCTACACACATTTCAATAGTGGTAAACATGGTGTTTTGGATAACTGTACTGTGGATTTCTGCTGGTCTATGGAAAGGAGCTGTTAATGTTTAATTTGTTTTGTCTCCTTTTTTCAATTCTTTTTCCATTTTCTCTTTGTAATTTCTTATATTTTTTTCTTTCTTTCTTCTTCCAATTTTCAATGCATATATCTGGTAGTATGAGCAACTAATTTGAAGACAACACTATACATTACAACAAATACTGTGAAATTCATATTATTTTGTTTAGTGAAATTCTGTATCATTTGTAATTTTTCTGTCTTAATACTATTTTATACTCTCTTAAAAATATTATAAAGGTATAAAAATTATAAAAACATAAATTATTTCTTCAGGTAACGATAAACAAAAACAATAAGGAAAAAAAGGGCACCTGAGGCAGAGATGGCAAATGTTATTTTAGCTTTATTCTTCTCCAAAGGAGAAAAAAAAAAAAAAAACATACTTTCATGAGACCAAAGATGGACAAGAAATTGTCTTTAGAGATTTGTGGAAGTGAACATTCTAGGTAGCAAGAACTGCAAGCACAGCAGCCAGATGGGAATAAGAATGATGCATATATGGAAGAGGTGAGAGCCAGCATGAGAATGTGGGATACCGAAATGTGTGAGAGAGGCAGGCAGCAGCCGATTGTTCTGGCCAGTGAGATGAGTTTCAGTCTTGTCTACAATGTAATGGAAAATGTTGGGAAGATTTTAGGTTGAAGGACATATGAATAATGGAAATTTACGTGACTAAATATGAAAACCGTAGGAGATATTTTATAGCCTCTTCATCTTTGTTACACATTATAAAGGCTCAATATTTTTTTCAAGTGAAAAGTTGGATAAACACCTTCTCCTATAGCAATTATCTTTAAAGATGAAAAGTAATTTTAACCTTTTTAAAAGATTAATAGGAATAGTAAGTTTAATCTATTTTTAATATTAATAGTTTTTATTCAGAACATATTTCCACATGTTAAGATACTGTTCCTGAATTCTAACAAGCACCAAGCACAGTTCTGTGACTACAATAGCAAACCAGATATTAAACAGCTCTATCCATCTCTTCCTCAAATTATTCCTTTGTCCTTTAAAATCTATCCCTTTGCCATCCCCGATTTTGGCACCCAGCAATCTCTTGTCTGTAACTCTAGTTGTCACCATTCCATGTACTGATATAAATGGGATGGCTTGGTTTGCAGGCTGTTCAGCCTGATGTTTTTCTGTTTAGCATAGTTCTCTTTAGATTTGGCTTGAACAGGGCTTCCATCACTGCAAGTGGCCTTGCCTTTCTGTGGTTTCTATACACAGACATTCAACCAACTATGATGAAAATTATTGGAAAAAATGTATCTGCAGCAAAATCATGTAGACATCTTGCTATTCATTGTAATAACTTTTAATATGTCTTTGACATTGTAGTAATTATTAAAAGTGAACTTGTAATGGCACAGTAGAGCATAAAGCATACAGGAAGATGTGTACAGGTTATATGAAAATATAAGATCATTTTATGTAAAAGAACTTAGTATCTTTGGACTTGGACTTTTAGAGTGGTTCCTGGATCCAACCCCACAGAAATCAAGGGATGATGTAATTTCCTTTTATTTATTAGTAATATTCCAATTTATGGATATACCATACTTTATTGATTCAGTTTAACAAATTGAGTCAAACTTGGTTTGTTTGTAATTTCAGTTAACTATTAATAAAGCTTCTATAGACATTTCCACTAATATTTTGTGGAAATAAAATTATGATTTATCTTTCATTAAGAGAAATGGTATTTTTTATGTTAGTGTTTACTGTATTATATTGTTTTCCATTTTTAAATTTAAATTCTAAGAGGGAAAATGAACACATGAGATTGATCACATTACATATTCAAGGGTAATACTCAGTATATGGCTGATTTTTTTCCAGCCTGTGAGATTTTACAGGCCTGTGACCTTCTTCCAATCTAGAAACAAATCATCCACTATCTTCTCTCCTCATGTAGACAGGATTTTCTTCCTATGGGCATGCACCCTTGAGCCAAATATCCAGATCTTTCAAGAACCAGATCTATTTCTTGAGTAAAGAAATGCAGCTCCTGCCTGTGTAAGGTCGGTCATCTTTCTAAAGCTCGGTGCTTTCATTTGCCTTTCTTTCAAACAGCTTTGGACAGTCATTACCTTTTCTTAGAGAATGATGCAGATGGCTTTTCTCCTCCTTTCATTAAAGACACTGTTATGTTCACTTGGCCTGAGAGAGACTTTTTACAGGTAATTTTATGAGATTACTGGAAGTTGTTGCCTTCCTTAGATGATTTATTTTTTCTTAGTGGAATTAGATACTGTAAAGCTCCTGAAAGTTCCTGTTAAGAGTTGGTGGAAAAACATGCAGATGAAACTCCTGCCTTTCCCAGTAGTTCTTGGTAGCATTTGATTAGTGGCCAGGCATGCAGCAGCTTCATGAATCTTCTTTTTTGTTGTTTCTGTTTGCAGATTTTATTCTTCACCGTACAGTATTGCAACCAACCGCATGATTCCACAGACATCTATCACGCCATTCATTGCTGCTTCCCCTGTCTCCACATACCAGGTATGTCCAATTTACCTGCACCTCAGGAGAGTTCTTCCTTGCCATTAATCCACTACCTAGAGGCAAAAAGGACACAGTAGATTAAAACATAAACTGTACACATACATTTTACTTGCATCTTAATGTAGTAACGCACAAGGTGTGAATTAGCCTATTCTTCCAGGACTGGTTTGCATCAGCTCATTGAATAATAAAATCCCACACACTTTCCTTCTTCCTGCTGAGTGTTTTTGATTATGCTCCTTTCCAGCCAATACCAGCACTGTTCTCTTACCACTGGGAAATGATTTTGCTTGTTGTCTTTTACTTTGGTCAGTTACATTTCCTTTTGTGACTTTTCTAAAAGCACATTTGTAGATACTCCTTCACTTACTCCAGGATATTTTATCATTGTCATCCCATGTTGTCACAGTTGCCCTGGTTAAGCTACACAGATAGGTGTTAAATCACATTGCCCTCAAATAGAGAGATTATCAAAGTGGTAAAAAAGTTATTCCTACTCCCTGTTTTTTCCTTCATTCTCAGCCTTAAAGAGATCAAAAGAGACATCAAGCATTCCACAAGTTGAACTATAAGCAGAGCTAAGACTCAAGGTGTGTCCTAAGTTGGGTGTTATTGCCAATTAATTCTAAGTGCACAGGTGATTAAAAGTCACACTTACACCTCAGAAACTAGTAATTAACTTAGTCCTTTGAGTTATCAAGCAGGTGATGTTACTCCTTGTTCTGCTTTACTTAATATCATTCTTCAAATAGTTCTCTTATTTCTAATTAAGAAAGTATCTTCAAATGCTACATGTACAAAGTATCTAGTGTATTGAAAAAAAAAAACGTTTGGAGGGAAGAAAGAGAAAGTGCGCCACGGTGTGTGTGTGTGTGTGTGTGTGTGTGTGTGCATGGGCTTCTCCGTATTTTGCAAATGCTGTGGGGGGTGATTTATAAAGGCAAAGCTACAGTATTGCTGACTGCTAGTAATGCAGTGAAATTTCATCTTATTCAGCTACTACATGCTTCATCTAAGGATGTCCCAGCTGTCAGAACATCAACCTTGATAACATATACATTTTTCCTTAAACAATTCCCCCAAAGCAGATCACTTTCATTCTTTTTTCTTCAAAGAAATTCTGGAAACATGTGCATGGGTGAATGGAATAAGCTTTTGTTTGAACTGCATTAAGGAACCCTAGGAGGGCAGCTTGCTCACTGCCTCTCCTTGGGGCTGTGTGCAGGTGCTGTTCACTTTTTGTTCTTGCAGCGGGCCTGCCTGCCAGCGTGTGTGCCTGTGTGAGTGTGTGCACACACGTGCATGTGCCTGTGTGCTTGCTTTTCTCTGATCTTGGCCTCTGTTGCAGCTGGGACCACCCATCAAGCCTCAGTGTAGATCACTTTGATGATATGAATAAAATGTTCACAGAAAAGTGATTTTACTTGGGAGGGCTCATAATGGAATTTAACTCTAGTTCCCAACTTCCAAAAAAAAGAGATTACAGTAATTTCCCATGTTGTCGATTCTTGCTTTTCACCACTTTTTAAAATCCAAAGTGTATTGTAATTTTGTTGGTGTGAATATATTGAAAACATAATCTTCATGGCTTTCTATGTGCTAATCAGCTCACACAGGCTGATTTCCTCTTTTGGCTGACACGTGATTCATTGAAGGAGAGTTGGCTGGCTCAACTGCTGACTTTCATTTGCTATTCCAATTGCAGTGACAGCAAAAGAAAAAAAAACAAACTTGCTTAACTGTGGTTTAGTCTAGAATATTATCCCAAAATTTCTGATTTCTGGTCTATTTCATTAATTCTTACCACCCACTGTACTGGTTGGATGTACTTCTAAGATGGAATCACCACAGCATTCAAAGTTCCAACAACCCCAGCAGAAAAACAGAACAACTTAGCAGTCAACTCTTGCTTCCTCAATTACTTACCAAGTACTCCTGGGAGTTGACATGCAAATTATCTCTGGGGCTTTTGAAGATGCCAGTCTTCAACACCAATCTCAAAGTGTGGTTCAGGATCCAGAGTGGTCCATGCAGCCCTGGAAGCCAGCCAGTGAAATGGGAAGTTGCTTTACATTTTATTGTGTGTCAGGGATGAAATTAACCAGGTCATGAATCCCCTTCTTATTCTTGATTTTGAGCACTAATTGGCTGTACAGTCAGATGGACTCAACCTTTTCATGACCTATTGTGTCTCCACTGAACGCAAGAACCACGTTCTCTCTGTGATTGCTTTGTGCTAATAAATGCTATTTGATGCATAGGTCCAGAGTACTTCATGGATGCCTCATCCGCCATACGTTATGCAACCAACAGTAAGTGTTCTCAGTCACCTGAGGCTCAATGTTTCTATTATCCAAGTGCAAGCTTTTGTAATGCATAGAAGCTTTGGGGTGAAGCTTTCATTCTATTCTGTAATTCTTTCAGGCAGCCATAGTCTCTAGATTCAAAGCTGTCCCTGAAAATCTACAAAAGCATGTACAACATAGCAAGAGTCAAAAAAGACAGAGTTAGGGGGACAGAGAGAGACACACAGAGAAAAAAAAAAAAAAACAGAAAGAAAATGAGCAAGCTCCCCTACTGGAGGAAATAGCAGTCAGCCTCCCAAGTCTGTGTCTACCGTTTGTTCTGAAAGATTTCTGTTGCATACAGGAACTGAGAATTCTGGACAGTCAAATTCATTATTCAAGGAAAGCCCTTCCGCTTTCCCTCTGTTGTGCTTTGCTAATTTTGGATGTAGCCTGATGGGACTTGAGGAACATTTTGCATATCACAACCAAGTACTGACCCAAAGCACTCAATTCAAAATGTGCAGGTAGTTGACTGTTAATAGAGATTGTATGAAAACGGCAAGGTGGGTAGATATTTTTATGTTAAACATCTATAGCTAATCTTTTCTTTAGTGATAGCCAATGTCTTCTAAAAATATTCAAACTCTATTTTCTACTTATAGCATTTCCCATTTTGTGGCACATTACATTGGCCCCAAGTAAAATTATGACATTTTACATTAGAATCTAGAATGAAGGCTAACAACTCCTTTTATCTCTGACTCACTTTCTTGTCTAGCTCTATAGAATTGTGAGTGTGTGTGTTTGTGTGTGTGTGTGTGTGTGAAAGAGAGAAAGAGAGAGAGAGAGAGAGAGAGAGAGAGAGAGAGGCTCATGAGGTGAGGTATGAGGTCAAGCACAGAACTTCCAGATAGGAAGTCTCTGGAGTACTCTTCCAGTATCTCACATTTGTGCTTTTATTTTCTTGTCCATAGTGATCCCTCTACTTAACTGAGCTTTGGGAAGGATCCAATGAGAGAACATATATAAAAGCAAAGTAGAAATATGGCCTGCTGTACATTATCACCATTATCATTGAGTATTTTAATGTAGAAAGAAAGAGCATTCATACTTTTTAAAACTTTTAGGAGTTAATCTTAAGGTGGCAAATACTGAAGACCAGAGAGTTAGAAGTACTAGTACTAGTAGTAGATAAGTAAATGGGTACATTTACTGGATTCAAAAGATCAAATTATCTGATTTTCATATTTGAAATTTGCCCATTTCATTTTTAAATAAAAAATCTCTATACTGTTTCTAACATTTCTGTAGGTGCTCTTTTTAATTTAAAGAGCACAACATATGTGTCTTAACACAGCAGAACTTTGAACGATGTTTCTCAAATCCCCCAATTTCCCATTATTTGTATACCTGGGGGTCTTTCTGAGTTCATCTGGTTTGTGTGCTATAAATCATACCAATGTGGCATGTCCAGGCCATGCATTTCTATCCAAGTCACGAGGTAAAACTCACTATGTGTTTCCAGCCTCGTGGAGAGCACAGGACAGACCAAGCCAATGCAGAAAAAGGAAAGAAGTTCTGCCAGAATCAAAGGAAGAGAAATCCTAGGGGAAAACATGCCACATTCTAAAACGTAATGCATTCATCTGTGGTTCAAAAATGCTAAGTTAATCTTTTCACTAAGGTGAAACATCATTTCTTTGTGGCTTAAAGAAATACATATATGGAAAAATACATACTTTGGAGATATCAAAATAAGTAAGAGTTCTCAGTGCTTGAATGAAAGTAGTTGAATAGACTTTTATTTCAGTTGTTAGCCAGTACCTAGGCAAAGATTTTTAGATACCTTTTCTTCCACCTATTGCAACTTCATTTTCATGTATTTATGTATGTATGTATGTATGTATGTATGTATATTTCCCATTTAACTTGCTTTAGCAATAGAGGTGTTATGTGCATTGTGTGTATGTGTGTGTGTGTGTGTGTGTGTGTGTGTGTGTGTGAGAGAGAGAGAGAGAGAGAGAGAGAGAGAGATTCATGTGTTGTTTGAACTTTTCTTACTGCAGCATCCACTCATTAATGCTATTATCATATCCCTTTTGTAGGCTACGAAGCATGTTTGAAGTTAGGCCATTATGTTTTAAATACAATTTCTTGGGATATAGTGGATTCCTAGGAAAAGAATGGTCAAGCCATTTACCAGTTTGTTATCTGTAACATGAAAGAACTGGCTAAAACGTGTCCTTGAGACATGAAATTTGTACCATCAATCTTTGTTCTATGACAGTCTTCCTATTTTTCTATGTTACATATAATAATATACCTTATTTATGTTAACTTCATCATCAAAATATAGATTAAATGATATCTGTGTGGTATCAAAATATAAAAATATTTAAGCTATCTAAGGCCAAGAAACAAAATACTCAGATCTGAGAATGATGAATGAGTTGGTGCCTGAGAACCTGGATTCTTACTGGGCTTGTTGGGTTAGGAAGATTTGGTGGCTAGGGGCACTGCGAAATTTCCTTAAACTTTCTGAGTTCTGGTTTCATTTGTAACATAGATATGATAATAAATGATTATGTGTTTGTTCATCAAATAAGGCACTAAATCTCTTAAAACAGTCCTTGGAAGATAGTAAGCACTCAACAAATGATTATTTCCTAAGTGAGTAGACATCACATTATGCTTTAGTTTAGGTCAGTGGCAGAAAGTGAGGGTCAGTACAGAAAGAAAGTTGAGAACAAGCACGAAGCATCTATTGGTGCTTCATTTACAGTAATTTATTAGTCATTTGGGGAAGATAACCTCTGTGAATAGAAAAGAGTCAAATAGCTTTGATTGGTACTTTTTTCATTTATCTGTAGAGTCATTCAACACCTATCACTTAAAGAAAGTGCCCATTAGTATCTACTTTACATATACATTCAAATTCTCAATATATACATCTCAAATAATTCTGCCCATAATTCTAATTCACAATTTCCTCCTCAACCATATTTCTCTTCCCCATGTTGAGAAAGTCATATACCTTGCCCATCAATGCCTCCATATGTCCTCAGTGTCATCTATGCATTCTGGCCCTTGAATGGGGCCACAGGCATCGACTCTACCAGAAAACTTTCAAGTCCTTCTCAGGCTTGGCATACAGGGCCCTGAGGCCTCAAGAAAGTTGGTGTCTGAAAACAAGACAGTGGTTTAGCAAAGTAATAGATAAGTAAATGGATACCTTGTGATGAAAAGAACTCCAGTTCTCTGGGTATTTTTACTATTATGGGGGATTTCCAACAGGAGGTGTAGCAGCTGGTTACAAGCCAAATGAGGGATGGAGAGAAGGAAAGAGAATAGTAAAAGGATGAACAGAAAGGAAAACAGAATAAGGTTGGTTGAAGTTCACCATTCCAGTTTGCCTCTTTGAAGATTAAATTTTGTAATTAGTGAGTACTTTTTGTAGATTTAGTAAAAGAGTATGGAAGAAACGCTAAATGTCTCCAACCATGGATTATTACTATTATTTTAGTATTTGTTTAATAACTCAGATCATCAATATTGGGCCCTGGGTCATTAGTGGATCCCCTGACAGAGGTCAATCCCCAGGCAGGGAAGCAAGCCTGTTTCCCTTTTCAGTGTTTTTCTCATGTAAACAGACTCTAAGGAGGGAGAACTCTGGCACTGTATGCAACATTCACTTCTGGGGGTGACTCATACGAATGCCAACTGTCAATGGAATTAGTTTTTTCTGCTTCTCAATGCAAGGCTCTGCCCTCACTCTGAAATCTCACCATTACTCTGACAGAATTTTAATAGTTGATAGAATGCACAAAATATCTACAGAGCAGCACAGCACAAGGTAATGTCATATGAATACACAATTCTCATGTTCCAAAAAAGTTGGATTGCTAAATCTATGCTACTGACAAGGCAGGGAAAAATGATAGTTCCCAAGAGAAATCAGAGTTCCATTGCCTTAAATTCTGTTTAAGCTCATTTGAATCATAAATCTTCTGTTATTCATATAGTTAGTGTTGCTTCACCTCAAGGAGAAAGGTCAGCTCTCATTTTTACTTAATTGCAATTTAGCTATCTAATTAAAGTAGTGTAAGAAATCCAAGATGCCCTTATTGAATCTTTGGAAGATTTGTTGCCATGCATGACTAAATTGTAATTTTTATGATGAATACACCAAGCTTACCACTAACGAGAAAATGCAAACTTCCTTTCTATGGAAATGTTGCTTAAGAAAGGCAAAAACACTTATTTTGATTAGCCATTATTTTTAGACAGATAAAGCCCGAGTCAGAGATTGTGTCCTTCAGATTTCCAAACACATTTTCAGAAAAAAGACATCACAGAATTTGGAAAATATTACATTGTTGTTCAAAAAAGCAAAGTTTTCTATATATTTCTTTTTGACTTCAGCATCTCTGTTGGACAAAACTAAAATGAAAGCTTTTGTGATTTTTTTAATCAAAGTACCAGTGCCAAGTGCTTTTGCTGTCTAAGAAGTTAATGTGGATGAAAACTTACATATGTTTATAGATTTTCCAACTAAATATAGCAACAGTCTCACTAACCTATTTATACTTCTCCTGTCAGAAAAAAGTTCAGAAAAGTGCAGGTATCCTTAAGTAGGGCATCCTCATGTCAGCAGCATCTCCTTTCAAATGTGTTGCTAAACTAGTGGGATAAGTAGGAGCGAAACAATTTCCACAGAAAATTCTTTGATGCTTGAAAAAGGAGATCTGGCTTTACTATTATTAAATCTGATTCCAAAATTCTACATTACATTTTCAAAAATAAACCTTTGTGACTTTAGGAAACGGAACTATAAATAATGAAATTCAAAGCCTAAAATTAAAAAGAATATAGAGTATATAAGACTTCTCAACTAGGATTCCCTTTACTTTCCGTTCTGTGACCTGGAAATAAATCTTGGTAGCAAGTTCTTTTGTTATCATTCAGTCAGCTTTTCTGAAGATGGAGGTATATGTGGCATATGTGTGAAAGTATTCTTATTGGCA